GATTCCCGGATGATGATTAACCATGCATTTCTGACGATTGAATAAATAATCTATAAGCGACAGTCCTACATGTTTAGGCTATTATCTTTCGCTAGGGTCTCGAGTGCACCTACTTATTTATATATTTGTACTGTGGTTTCGAGTAGCCCAATGATTAGAACCGTCGTCCAGATTGCGAAAGATTGTGGGTTCGAGTCCGATCTCGGGGTCAACAGTCATAGCTTTGTCAATGCACTTATCAATGCAATCTTTTAAAATTGAAAATGTTACCTCGTAATCAGACTATTGTTGACAAAGTAGTAAATATCATACAAAAAATCAGACGAAATTAGAACTTTTTTTTGGAAATGATTTTTAAATAACGGCAAATGTAATTTCAAATGTTTCTTAACTTCGTTAACGACTCAAGCTGTGTAAATGGTAGATACTTTTTTTTGAGTTTGCTTTCTCAAATATTTTTTTCCAAATGCGTATATATATAGTACAATTGAAACTGAAAGTAAAAAGTTTTTTCCTTAAAGTAGATCAATTTGTCTCAATCTTGTTAAAAGTTTATCTTGATATGAAAGATACTTTATTACAATAAATAGGCTACCTTCAAACTTCATGAAGGGTATGTTATGCGTGTACTTTTTTACTTTAATAAGGTTATTTATATAGGCAACTTTGGAGATTTAATATCGTATAATATTTTAGGAACTCTTACTAAGAATCAACTATAGAGGATTAATATTACCCGTCCATAATAATATTATAAAGAGGCAAAATTTCTAACTTAGTTGATTTATTTATCGGGCTTAACCTTCGGAAATACTGATTCGTTCATGAAAATTATTTCAACTACGCGAAACTATATATAACATACGCGGAATTTACGAGGGAGAAGTCGTGGCAAAACATAAAAGCATTAAATGTGTAGTATCACAAGACCATAAACTGTTCATAAATCAGACCATATTGAATCTGTTTTGAAGCTTCTTAAGAACAAGTAAAAAAAACTGACTTCAAAAATCTTATAAAATATTTCAAAAAACTTCTATTGAACGCGATTGAACTTTGATACGTAGTTTATATATCTTTAAAACTGTTGAACCAATTTCGATGGAACTTGAACTATTTTCTGACTAGAAAGCTACAGAACATACAGTTAACCCATAACTCGGTCGTGTGCATAAAAATATTTTTCAGAGTTTAAATTGTATTATATCTATTTAAATAACTACAACAATATGATTACAGAGTTATGAACTTTTAAAAGATATAAAAATTTAAATATGATATTTTTCTCTTTATTTTTTTTAGAGTTTAGTCACGATTAACGAATTTTATTAAAAGATAAAGAACAATTGTTCGCAAGCATAGTTCTGTATGATGCTATATGATCCTGCGAGATTGTTGGTTTTTTACAATTTATGGCTGAGTTACATTGGTCGATGAGGTCCCTATGTGCGTTCATTTCATTGGTCGACAAAATAATGACCGACCAGAAATCGGCGGCATGCCGCACGCTAATGTTCTCGATCAATCTAAATACCCTATCATTACCCTGTATTATATATATACATATGAAAATCGAAATTAGTATATATTATTATTAATAATTTAATAATAATAATATATAGAATTTTATTATTAGTATAAAAATGTCATACGATGTAAATTACTATTATTATAGTAATTTTGAATCGCCCGAGATTTTTACTCACAGCCCATTTAGAACATATTTTCGCTGATAAAAAGATCGAGCGCAAAAAACCTATCAGTTCTTAGGCTGAGACTGCACTGCCCGGCGACTCAGTGTGTATGCGGGGGAGAGTTCCACAGATCCTCTGCCATCCCGTCAAGCGGCAAGGATGCGTAACGCATTTTCTCAAGAAAATTTCCAAGATTGCACTGCATCTAATGGTATTGAGACTCAATTTCTAATCGGTTGAGGTATTTGCGTGTGTAGAAGACTTAAAAAGATACACACGGTTGCAAACCAGTGGTCCAACCTTTGATTAAAACAAAGAGGAAGATGCAGCATACTCATAGTTGTATTGATCACAAAATGGCACTGATACGATTACGTATGTAAACTTACTCCCACGGTATTTATTCCTCAAGCAAGCAAAATACAACTATGAGTTCTAACTATATCCATATAGCGTGAGCCAGACAGGTATTCACGTTATCAGTAGAATATATACCAGGCGAGTGAGATAGCAATGAATTTCAACACTAGCGTGACCGAGACAGGAATATATGAGCGTTTCAACATAGACGTAGCAACACGCCGCACAGCTGACATCCATTCTCTCTATCGCCCATGTACAAGTGGTATATGCTCTTATCCTTTCTTAAAAATGGCGTACTAGATATCTATTAAACAGTTGACTTTGAATTAAAAATGTGTTTTAATATATAATTATACGAGAGAACTGTGATGCCATAAAGTTTTGTTTTTGTTCTTGAACTATCTATTATATAAGAACACCCAAGCGATTGTTCGATCTTTTTTCCACTGAATTTCATGTATGTTTTTGTTCTTAGCGTGTGTGTCCTTCATAGAGTGATCAACCGCTGTTTTTTTTGCGGTTTCAGAATTGCGTTTAATCACAGTGCGATCTGAACCTTAACAATAGTAACGTCATTTAGATCAAATATGTCATTACCAAATCTATATCAGTGTCAACAATATTAATTAAGTGTGACAAATTAAATGAGACCAATTAACATACTCATTCATACTCACGATGTGAACGAAGAGAATTTATCGAATGTTTATGATTTAAACTAAACTCGTTTGGCAAATAAATTTTACTGATATTAAATATATAATATTTTTGTTAGTATTATCATCCATAACATTGTTTTTATAATTTTTTCTTAAATAACCTATTAAACCTCACATTCCAGTAGATACCTTTTCGTATAATTGTTTGCGGTTTTAGTATAATACAACTAATGAATTTTCGATGGGTCAGCCAATATTCAGAAAAAGAATTGTTATCAGTAGGTGGGTTTGCTTACATTGAATAAGCCCTGAAACCTGTAACTAGCTACATCATACGGGGGTGATATAGATGATTTACGCGAGCGAGGTCACAGGAAAACAGCTAGTCAAACATACATCAAACAAAACAGCTAAGCAGATTTAGCTGTTTTATAAAATAAAAGATTCGGTCTTTTTTAATCCCTGAGAAATATAATTAAAAAAAAATTGATCAGTGTAGTAAAGATCACGACCGATAAAGGATTGAAAAACAAAGTACCTATTCAACATGAATGCAATAGTGAAAACGCGAGAACTCGAATGTCAGATAAAAGCAGAATAAAAACGTCCTGCTACAGAGTGAAGGTGGAAAGAGAAGAAATAAAAACACTTTAATTAGAGCCAATGACCGTTGAAATAAATCCAACGATAAAAGAGAACCTGGAAGATTTAGTTGACATGCCTAATTTTGCAAATAGACTCAACTACTCTCTTCCAAATTCACCTTATGACCTATTAAAAAAAAAAACAATATTAAATCAAAGTAAAACAATACTTTGTAACTAGAAAAGTAAATATAAATAGTCACAAGAAAATATGAAATAAATAAGGTTAACTATAAAGAACACAGAAGACAAAAAAACATAAATTTAAATTCAAATACTTTATGCTCATGCTATTCAGATGAATAAAAAAAATGCATTCAGTGATCACGAGTGCCCCATTTGTAGTGTTCTCTACAACCAAGACATTAGGTCCAGTGTATATTATGTAATAACAGACACTGGCTCTAATTTCATTTACTTTATTTAGATGCCCTGACTGTTCAGCCGACTATGATTAGTAGTTAAAAAGAAATGGTATTGAGATTCACAATATTATTATTTTCTGTTACTAGATGGGAGTGTTTCACAGGTATATTGAAATATTGTTAAGTATCATGCTTCGTATATTTTCGATAACTTATCGTCATGATTTAACATAAATTTGATGATGTGAAAAATTTATATTAATTACAATTAACTCGTTAATAAACTTTCTATTAAAATTCCCATTCAAACATATAAAAGTTGTTTCATTTACATAATCTTCGTATCCAACACTAAGTAATAACTTTATTTTCATTAATTAATAAGATACTTGGGATATTACAAGTTAATATTTAAGATTTATAAGTCTTAATCACCAATTCGAACTCGACCAATTTTTCGAGTGCTTTATCAGCTGCTCCGGTTCTTTTACAAATTTTTATATTATACAGAATTCCGACCTATTTTCTTTCATAAATTTTAAAATTATCATTATTCATCTAATTTCATTTGAAATTTTTAGTGTGTGTTTAAAGTGGATTAAATATTATTTAAAAAAATGGTTTAAAAAATTACCTAATACCTATTTGTTCACGTCACCAGTCTAGTCCTCGTAGATCCAGAACGATACTAGTATCATGCAAACGAAAAAAAAGAAAATTGCGTATCACTAAACAACTCGTAAAATATTACCATGAATGAATCAAGGTTTAAAGTCCCAGTGCCTCAAAATTTAAGTCGAGTTTGAGCTGCGTACAAAGAAACGAACTCCGACAACTTTTTCTTTCACAATAAAAACATTAGAATGCCGGCTTTCTTGACAAACTGGACAGATTTGTGTGATTTTTTAAGCAATGGAGATAAAATAGTAGTCATTTCACGATGATAATTATTTAGCTTGCAGATTTGATGGCACTAGTTTGTTTTTAAGATTTTTTTAGTATTGAGAAGAATCACAAAATTATCCCAATATCTCTTGTTTACAATGCTCTTGAAATTATGATAGCGGGTTTAGTGTACCGATTCAAGCAGTAACCTACTTGGGTGGCAGCCGTTCTTGACCCAAGCATAAGTTTAGATAATAATGTATTAGCGGACGACGGCAACCGGCACGGGTCAACGGTAGTACCTACCTTCCTGGATCTCTTTCACGGGGAAGTAAGCCTTCTGAGAAGGGGAAGCATATAAAAATGAATGTTGAGTGGGCGCGCGACTCAGTCGCACAGCGGTACACACCGCAGCCACAGTATAATTGCGTCGCATCAACGCCACAGGTGAGCGCGAAAGAGCAACGCGATCGCGTGTTACCGTACTTGTAATTAGAGGCGCCCATCACAGCCGCAACAGTCACAGCGTTCGACGCTGACTCCTCGACGGACCGTCGCCGTCGACGCCCGCGCCGCGCCACGCCGTATGCCGCCCGCTTAGACGACGATACAACCATACCCCGAGTTCAATGAGGTATGTTAATTTTGTACCCCTTTCCCATATGCTGTTATATTTTTACTAATGCTCCATGCGAATTTAATAATATATATTTTTTTGTTAATATTTTAAAAATATGTACTTCGTTGTCAAATAATTAAAAAACATTAACTTTAAAAAGTACTTAAAAAGTTTCTCAATTACATTTAAATATAAATGCTGAGCCATGACTTAATTGTTTAACTAGAACAGTAAATATTCTGTAAAATAAAAGTACAATTATTGTTGAAATGATAACACGGAGATGCGTCAATCTACATACATTAGATTCGATATATTGGGCATAATCGCCGTTTGTTATTAATAAATTGATAAAGTTTATCGTAAACAAACGTTATTCGGCGCCCTTCTCACATAATAAATGATATATAATGCGAAGTTTATTGTTAATTCTCTCGCAAAGTAAATGATCGTGCTATATCATTTCTTAAAGGGATAACGAAATTTATATCATTTCGCTAAGGGTTGTACGATTAATTCCTCTTAAAGCTTCAACTTGTCGCTTCTGTAAGCGTATTGTTCATATGTCGCATATAACCTTATGTCATATTATATTTTGAAAACAAACATAGTTACCTTTACATAATAAAATATACTTGTAACGTAGTTAATGTGTACTGTTAATGGTGTACTCGTGTAAATTACTCCAAAGTAGGGGAACCTGTAAATAAATTACCCTCAGATACATAATATAAAATTTGTTAACTTAAAGATAAATATCGATCTCAAGTATTACGACAAAAAAAGGATGACTTTTTTTTTTCATTTAGTGTAAATTAGTAAACTTTATCATAACCATTATGTTTTTAGATCTAATGTGGATTATTAGATACCTATTTTTTACAAATTTTACTATGCTAAGTTTGTGAATATGATATTGAAGAGGAAATATCAGACTTTACCATTTCACAATAATCCGTTAAATTAATGAAACTTTGAATATGTAACTGATTACCACAACAATTTTGATATTTCGTTCGCTATTCGTTTATATTTTAAGTTTTACAAACCATAACTTATTATTATTGGCATTGAAGAAGTCTATTAAAAATTATATTAAATTCAAAAAACGTGTATATTTTCAAATGTTGATACATTTCAAATGCATTATATAAACACCAGGTTTTCGAATTCCTTCTCATTTGCGTCATTATGGTATAATTTTATTCTTAAATTATCAAACTTGCTCTTACTTAATTGGGACTGAAGAATTACCTGTTATAAGTGTATAAAATAAAGCCTAGGTTTATGTAGAATAATGCAGTTGCTAGAAATGGGTCGTAAAAGTTTTTAAATACCTATCCTAACTATCAAAGAAACCTTTAAAACCTGTTGTTTATAAAAATAATAAATAAATAAGTTTATATAATTTTTTTATATAAGTTTTAATCATAGATACTCTATTCAATCATTTGATTAATAGAATATTTTAATATATTGCACAAAGCTTATTAAGCCTGGTTGCTAAGTTATAGGTGAAGACTAAGTAAAACATCTGAAAAAAATACTTCACAGAATAAAGGTTACGTAAAAAAATTGACAGAATAATGATGCTATATTTATGACCTAAGTTTTTAGCTTAACTATCACTTGAACTTTGATGTAACAAATAAGTGCGCTTAATATATCTAACAAATAATGTTAGATTGATAATAAAATTAATCTAATATTAAATAAAAACTGATATGAAATCAGTAAATTTTGGAGATAAACTAAAAATGTGATACTTTAAATTACTTTATAAAAGATTTAGCTTTAGTCTTTACTGACTCATTGAACCAAGTCTTTACTGACTCATTGAATAGAAATGCTTTAAAATATAAAAAAATTATGATAATTGCATAGCTACTTGAAAACTTCTCCATTGTTTAAAACTGTTTAGTCTGTAACAAGTTGTTTTCCGCGACTTCGCCCGCTTAAATTATATGTCATCTGGGTATAATGTAGCTTCCAATATATGAAAGATTTTTCAAGATCGGATCCGTGCTTCCGAAGATACCTAAATAAATAAATAGACAAACAAAGTTAGAAACTATACCTCTTTATAACATGAGTATAGATTTTAACTTAAAATAAAACGTAACACAAACTATTATTGACGGTTCGACATAAGCGTCTCCGCTCTCTTGCTTTTGCACTTTGATCTTTTCTAGGTTCTGCGCACACTTTTAATGTCAATGATTCCAAACACCGTTTATGATTTTTTTGATTTCGTATTTTCAAATTTTTGTCACATTAATTAAGTGTTTTTTTGTAAGACATAATTCAAATTGCAAATCATTTAATTTATTGCAAAAGTTATATGCGCATCAAGATTCGTTTGGGTCTTTATTTTTATGACCTTTTATTTCTTAAGAATAAAATAAATAATGATGCAAACTTAAGAAGAAAAATAATACCTATTTCTCGTTAGAATTGTTGTACCAACTAAGAACGTCACATATAGGTTGATTTTCTGTTATTTGCAGTCTTCATTCATAGATTGATTGAATATACTTTATTGCACAAAAAACAAACACATAAAACAAAAAGAAATAAACATTGCAAATTCTACCAGGCAACCTTTGGCTAATATAAACTAAGCCAACTACGGAAATATATCGCGATAAGTTAATTTAATTAATAAATATATTTAACCAGAAAAAGAAAGGTTAAAAGGAACAAAATGATAGAGACAAATAACTTAAATTAAGTATTTTAACTTTAATGAATTTGTAAGTGAGCTTAGTGTTTTTTCGCAACATTGCCAGCGTAAATTATACGTCATCGGCGTGTAATGTACCAAAAAAAAAATTTTTTTTAATCGCCCAATAGGTTAGAAGCCTATTCAATGCAAACAAACAATCAAAACTTTCCTCTTTATAATATTAGAATAGATAAGTTAACTCGTAAAATCATCTTGTATTACAATAAGACGACAATAGCCCGGTATTATTGTGCAAATTGGTATTTATATTTGATATTATGACAATAAATTTGTCACAAACCCGTGTTAATTGACTCTATATAACGACGGTCAACTCAAATTGTGACGTAGTATGTATAATTTACTATATAAGGCCCCGCTTTAAGGTAAAACACGAGTCTTATTCGGCGAGTGATATTGCGCACATTTTGCGATATCAATGTAACTAGGGTCCCTCGATAAAAAATATAATTTGAAATTGATATTAATAAAATATATTTAATGATATGATCTATTGCATGAAACCTTAATCAAGAATCTAAATCACTTGTATTATGGAAATCTGAAAGCAAATCTGTGATTTATAAAGGACAATATATAATTTGTCTCATCGGATTAAAATCTGAATTTCCAAAATTTTATCTATAGAAAAAAAACCGGTCAAGTGCGAGTCGGACTCTCGCACGAATAGCTCCGTACCGGAAACGAGCGTAAAATCACGTTTGTTGCATGGGAGCCTCCTCAAATATTTATTTTATTCTGGTTTTTAGTATTTGTTGTTGAAGCGGCAATAGAAATACATCATCTGTGAAATTTTCAATTGTCTAATTTTCACGGTTCATGAAATACAGACAGACAGACTTACAGACAGCTTACCAAAAAAGTAAACCGGGAACTCTATTACTAAGACTGAGTAATACAGTTCCCGGTTTACTTTTTTGGTACGGTATACAGATAAGGTATTAGCTGACTTAGATAATAGGATACTTTTTATCTCACAAAAAAATTCCTTAAGGAACTTTAGGGAAAGCTAGTAATATTATAAAGCTAAAAAATTAGTTTGTTTGAAAACTTTAAAATCAGGGCTCGCTGTTTCGAATTAAATAAATGTATATTTTTGTTGAATAGTCCATTTACTGAGACTATTCAACAATAGTGGTAGGTATAGCCAACATCACGCTATGGTTAATAGGAGAAAATGGGAAAACAACAAGGGCGAAGCCGCGGCGGAAAGCCATGTTGGTAATTAACTTGCGAGGAATAAAAAAAAAACTTCTTGATATTAAACCAATTAAATCATTAAACACTTCAAAAATTAGTATGCCCAATGAAATATTCTATGATATTTATTACGATTTTTGGATTCCGGATATGACAAAACTTAATTGAGTTTCGAAAATTAATAAATAAGTCATCGTCTGTTTTTAGCTCTTGGTGTCCTTTTTAATATCAATATAGGTTTCAATATAAAATTTAATTTTTCTTCCACAACTTCCAATTATTTATGACATTACGTGTCAAGGAATGAAAATAATATTATTTTATAATTGGTCCATTTTCATGTTTCCAGTCAAGAATTGCCAGAAATATTTCGAACATACATAGTATCGACATGTAACATTTATTTTAGCAATTTTCCTTTGAGTAATCATTTAAATATAGTCTGTGGCGTCCTTTTTAGGATACCGTACCCAAAGCGTAAAACGGAACTTTATTACTAAAACTACGCTGTTCGTCCGTCTGTCGCCAGGCTGAATCTCATGAAGCATCATAGACAATTGAAATTTTACAAGAAGATGTATTTCTGTTGCCGCTATAACAACAAATACTAGAAACAGAATAAAATAAAAAAATAAAGATGAAGCTCCCGTACAACAAATGTGATATTTTTTGCATATTTCATAGATAATATGGTACGGAATCCTTCGTGCTCGAGTTTGACTCTCACTTGGCCGCTTTTTAACAATACTTTGTCATCTGTCTCTATTTATTTCATTGACTGGTCTGAGTTCGTCTCGTAATCATCACGTGCGAAATGCATTCATGTGTGCTATAATCAAGTAGCTCTGTGGCGTAGTGGATAAGCGCCGCGGCCCGTGATAGTTGTCGTTAAGCAACTTTCGCAAGGGTCGGTCACGGGATGGGTGACCAAAATAATATTATTATCTCGAGCTACTCCGTGCTTCGGAAGGCACGTTAAGCTGTTGGTCCAGGCTGCATTTGCAGTCGTTTATACCCTCCAATCCGCATTGGGTCAGCGTGAAAGGTCATGGCCCATCCTCCTTAACCA